TTAGGATGGTCGGTGAGGTATTATGCAAAGCATTGGCCCCTCCTATTCGAACGTATCTGGAAACAGAAGTGGTGAGGTGTGCCGGCTTTTGTAGCGAAATAGTTTATACGGGCTTTACTTCAAATAAGGGACACAAAGTCGACTAAGACTGTCGGTGATCAAAAGGGGTATTTGCACTAAACCCAAGTGGTTCATTAGTTACTACGGCCTCCGATACATCGATTCGTCACCTCATACTGTTGTAAACGGGTAAGCTAGGAATAGGGGGGAAAAGCAGGACGGTATTTCGCACCATGCGATGTGGCTGTTTTGGACCATTATTTTTACTCTTGCTACAGGTCCCCAGAGCCACAGAGCCACGCATTCAAGCTGACCGACAAGTGCATGTGTCCTTGATTTATTAGCAGCTGCATTCATGTTGCTGTCGATCAGTTCGATTCATAGTTACGAATTTCATTGCGCGGTAAAGTGTTACCTACGAAAATATGTTGTACATCCTCGTGGCTACTATACTCGAACCTACTATTACAGGCCGGCGGAAAGGATCTCGGTAATGTCCTAACGCGGGTTTATCTTTCCGTCACCTATTGTGGCGTTAGCGATCTGGGCTCGCCTCGATTTAACAGTATTGTTCATTTACGTCGTGGATTCCATTTTATGGCAGGGTTCCTTGGAGAATGTCCTCGATGTAGGCGCTGATGTGCTTGCTGAGTGAAAGGGTTTAGTTGATCCTAGTATTATGCGGGCGATTTCGTCTTGATTTTCATGATTCACAATGTTGTGGACGGTACATTAAACCACTGAATAGGGCCTATCCAGAGTCGGTTCACATTATTTGGTATGCATTTCGCTAACGTCAAATTTGCACAAAGTTGGTTGATGCAAGTCAACACAGACCTTGATGGCCCTTGTCGCTGGCTAACGCTCATTGGACTCAATGGTCATACTAAATTGCATCTCACAAGATTGGTACTGCTATAACACTCATTCAGTGGACTTGACAATTGCCACATGGTTGTTGCACTGCCACTCGTTTGCGTATAGATCTCTGGAACGATATTGCCCAATCGTGATCAAGTTTGGCGAACACGACTTTGACTCAGCTAAGCGTTTTTTGCACGCCCGTTTTCTAATAAGAAATCTGAACTAATATTATGGGACCATTCCTTGATAAAACAGGTTAGAAACACCAGCGCGCAGAGGTTCAAGTCTACCTAAATCACAAAAATATCACAAAAGAAATATAGCAATAAATACACCTCCCTCGCGGGAGCGCATATACTGAATAACCACTCATCCAACTTAAAACGCAAAGCTTGCTCTTATATGGTTTATAATGTGGACAGGGGATGTAACACAAGAAACGACAAATAGACCACACGCTAGTACTAGAGCCGCATCGGGACAACATAAGGACGCGTTAATAGCATACGATACTGGGACTGTTTCTATGTCCGCCAACAACATAAAGCCGTGGAAATAAAACATACGTCACGCAGTCCAAATTCTAATCCGTCAGACCATGTGAATCAGATTCATGAAGTTGAAATGCTTGACTTCTTGTCGCTCTTACAAGTCACACATTACTGTGTAATTAAAAACCTTCTGCGACAAAACTCCTTTATGGTCCGATCCCCATAGTCCTAGCAAACCTCTTCACACGATGTTTGATTGCTAAAAGGACTCCTCGGATTCCATAAATGACCACCAAACCAATAAAGCAAAGTTAAAACACGCCGAAAGCTCCAACACGGCCAAGACTAACAAACCCGTGGCTACCGATTTATTGACAAAAAAACCCGTCCAGTTAGAATGGGAATAACGAAAGTAAAGCAAACACTTTTCTGGACGAAGTCCTTGATTTTGAGAAAAACCAATCCTGGATCAGCCTGGTTCGCACAGTGAGCTATTTGCTCAAACACCAAGCACCAACCTTCACCTTCGTAAGTCTAATTCGTGCAAGGTCGGGGTTTTCACTGCTGGATCGATGTCAACAATACAACACACCATCGACTACCGGACCTGTAGTTACATTTAACCATATGAGTTTCAACATACACCGACTCCCACTCGGCCCCTTTTGCACCCAGCGAACCCTGTGGAATAGGCTCCTTCACATGCAGATACTCCTACAGCTATTCGACCCAAAAAGATACAGATTCACCATTTTTTATGGTTACGCATGTAAATTGCGGACCACATGATACTAGGAATGCCTGCTTCAAGCTACCGGACGCTACGCTCCATCATTCTACAGACTAATGAATACGATGGCAAACGACGGCGGGTCCAATGCTGCCTCACAGCCACTTGGTACTACGTCATATGTAAAATATGAAACACAATACGGACACCGAGAAGGACTCCCACTAAAAATGCTTTTAGTCTAAAAGAATTCTTCTTTCTCTCTCCCCTCATCAACCTTACTGTAACCTGTACACGCACTGGCATAGGAAACTGATGGCTAAGATTACGATTGGCTTTTTCAATCACACTATAAGATCATCTATACGGAGGGGTGCAATAGTTTAGCCCGTTGGCAAGATTTAAAGTAATAAAGACCATCACTGACCGACGCCGAAGACTTTACGTCTATGCAATTTGCTAGTTCATTTCATTTATGTTTATCGCTATTGGATAGCAACTCCCAGTTACTGATGTCCATGTCCGTTTGTAGTCGATGATAACTGAAAAGTGGAACGCAGATGATTTGAACGTTGACCCGCTGCCACATTCCCTTGGGTAAAGGTCTTTCTGATAGAGGTACGATTATAGATTGGTGGCGGAGGTTGACTGTGAGATATGTCAGCATTGTTTTTCCACGCACTCAGTCGTGTTGCAATCAATGACAACTTGGCTATTTACACGAAGATTCTGGTATGGATTATGGCCTTGAGGTGGCTCCTAGTTGTCATGTATGTGTGGAAGGAAGCTTATTAAACTAAGCCATACGAATAGTATCTTGAGCTGACAGAATTGGCTAGCTCATTTAACAGAGGGTTCTTGAACGGTCAATGAACCGTCTTAATATATAATCGGACCGGTGAACTTAAGATGCAAATACATATCGTGGACTCGTGCATAATCAAGCACCACCTTATTGGTAATGGCGTCATTATTTGTACACTGTCCTCACACATATGAATGGTTAAAACTTGTCGCGCGCACCCTCTCTAGACCTGACAAATAACTCCTTGGTACCCTTACTTTTAACAAAGGGATCACACGCATGGCATAGGACAGGGTTGTTTGTATTTAATTCCAGGGCCCACGCACACCACAAAGGTTGGGTGGGTCTATATTTTCAAAGCTTGCCCAAATGACCTTCATCCTGTTTACGCCCGGTCTTACGCTGACAAATTTAGGCCACTAACTGTAGTTTGATATTGGCAGAGGCCTATATCACGCTCTTCCTTTCGAGTGCCACAGCTCACTTGCGGGACACTTTCTTCATGACTACGTCTGTAAAGACCCCCACTGCGACCTCTGTGTTTCATTTTACACAATAAATTCACGATTGGTTCTCGATAAACAGAACCGATGGATGCAGTTAAGGAAATCAGGAGTCATCATACTCTGAAAAGATGACGAACACACTCAACGCGGAATCCAATGTAATAGTTGATGTTTGACTTCACATATGCGCTCTCCGATACAATAGAAAATTACTATAGTTTTTTCACCAATCATTTTGGGTTTTATAGATAATTGCTAGTGGAATGGTGAAACTCGCAAAAACACATGTACCTCATACTTTAGTATGAGCGTACTGCGCTGCGCAGTGCAGAAACAAGGATAAGTCCACCATGGTAGAATTTTGATAGACATAGCAGTCGGCAGCTACGACTTGCCCTTTAATCAATAATAGTTACTGATAATAGGGTTATTAATGATGCAGCAGAATTGTGCGAGTTTATTATCCGCACTATTCATGTGGAGGCAATCTACTTGAAGCAAACTTTTAGTGTTGATGACTTTGTTGTGGGAATGAGGTTAAGTAGTTGAGATGGCATATAATGGGTGTGAGTCAAGTTTATATACGAAGCCAGCAGACATGCTACAGTCACTGAATAATGAAAACAACAGACGGACACGACGGAGTACACAATCTTCCTTATATTACTCGAGGCCCGGTTATTACAATCTTTCTCTCTCAAACGATTTTCAACACCTCACATGATGTGAGGAATAAAATACTTCCAATGCCTATTTCGGATAACAAGACATTAGGAGTTCACGGCATAATATAGAGGACTGCTAGACAAAAATATTTATACGACAATAAATGAGAAATAGTTGAATGTCCTCAATTGGAGTAACGTGTGTGGGTTAGGATTTGGATGGTGGGGTGGATGCTGGGGAGTATGATGAGATTGGACCTGTTTTTTAGGCAATAATCGGGTGGAGGCAGGACGTTTTCGGTGTCAATTTATTGGAATGTTGGTATTATTGTATATTAGGGTACTCTATCATGTTGTATAGGGGAATTGTACTATATGGCACGAGGGGGGAAGAGAGAAGAGGGGGAGCCTAACAGACGGTGTGGTTGTTCGAAGGAGGAGTAGTATACACTACATGACGGGGAGTCTGAGGACACAGAGTCGGATATATTGAGTAAATTAACCCAACACCCATACAATACACGCTGTCGTATCGCCCTCCAGTATTCAAAGGAATTATACTCTGGACATGTGTAGGACACCAGATTTAGACAGGCACACACTGCCAAGAAGAAACCACCGCCCTATCGTGTTCGGAGACAAACCACCACTTATTTTACTCATGTGTTTTGTCCCGTTCCCCCCCTACCCAGGCCAGTTCCTAGAAAAATGACCCCCCTAATCCTGCTATCCCAACTCACCATTGTCTTTACATTTCACCATTAATCGGGACACGCCACTTAGCAAACAAGTTGATTTCGGATTTTTATGGTAGGAGAGTTGGTACCGTTATCTTTGAGAGTAATGAATAGGGTTGGGCACGGGAGGTAAGTCTTATGGTTAGGACGCATACGTGAATTTTAGCTTGGGTAGTTTCAGAATGCAGTCAATGCCGAGTGGCCGTGCGTGATGGTGAAAACGTTGGAAGAAGATTGGAATATACGGCGCATCCGCAAGGTAATAGTACCCCCCCCCCCCACCCCCCCCCCCCCCCTCCCCCTCCCCCCCCCCCCCGGCCCCCCCCCCCCCCGCCCCCCCCCCAAACCCCCCCCCCCCCCCGATGGGACTCCGTCGGGGCCGGCGTTGTGTGTCAGTTTCAGTGAGCGTAGAGCGCGGCTAATATTGTTTAGGTCGAAATCAATGGTGTGAATGCGATCGTCGGTAAACTTTGAAATCTTATTTGGCAGCAACACATTAGTGCTGATGAAGGCATCACAGAAGTGTGCGTTAATAAACTCGCACAATTCTGCTGCATCAGTAATAACCCTATTATCAGGAAGCATTAGTGAGTTAATGGGCAAGTCGTTGCGGCCACTGCGATGCTTCATAAGTCGTACAAGTGACTTAGCCTTGTTCGCACTGCGCAGCGCAGTACGCTCAGCTAAAGTGTGTACATGGTTTTGCGAGTTTCTCCATTCCACTAGCATTTCGTTAATACGAATTATGAGGTGAAAATCTTTAGTATGCTTGTAGCGAGAGCGCATTTTCTTAAGCTTAGTGGTAAGTTTACGCGTGGGGGCGTCATCGGAATTTTGAGGTCTCCTGATCGAACGCTCCATCGGGGCTAGGGTATCGAGACAAAGCGTGAAGTTATTGTAAAGTTCACAAGTCGCAGTGTCTGTACTAGTTGTCAGGAAGAAAGTGTCCCAAGGAGCGGCACGGAGAAGTGCGGAGAAGGCCTCCCAATTCATACGCTGTAGTGGCCTAAAGGCAGCGTAGACCGGGCTTACAGGATGAAGGAATTTGGCTAGCTTGAATGATAGCCTCACAACCTTGTGGTTGCTGCCCGGGATGTTATCTAACACACTGGCAGTTGCATGCGGGATACCGTTGGTGAATATTAGGTCCAAGGAGTTGGTCAGTCTTGTGGGTGCGCGCACATGTTGAGTCCAGTCATGTGTGAGGACAGTGTCTATGAAGACCCTGTACCTAGATGGTGCTGATTGAGTAAGCCACGAGATGTGGGGCATATTGAAGTCTCCGCCGATTATTTTATAACGGGCGGGAAGGAATGAAATTTCGTGAAAGAGCTTAGCCAATTCCTCAGCTCCAGTACTAGTCGGATGCGGTAAGTTGTAGATGCAGATTATCAGATGTCAAATTGGCCTCCCATGGTCTGAATTCAGACAGAATCTTCGGGATTTCCAAGTGGTATGGTTTGGAAAGATGTCGCGTGGAATTCCATGCTGACGTATATAAGGCAACCGCCGCCACGTTGATTGATGCGTCCGCTAGAGAAAGTCCTGTACCCAGGAATGTGCAGCGGGTCATCGGGCATATCAGCTGCGTGCCACGTTTCAGTGATCAGCACTACATACGGACTGGACAGAAGTATGGGAGGGGCGAGAATGTGCATTTTATTTTTGATAGATCGAGCATTGAATAGTAGGATTGTATACGAGTCGGTCAGATTGGTCTGGATGAGGGATGCGGCCAACGGCGTATCTGGCAACCCCCGTTGTGATGAGAGGTTTGTTTGTATGCAAGCGTTGAGGTGCCTGAAGGTAAGAGGCTGGCGGTGGTCAGGGACAGTAGGTTGTAGGGGAGAGTAAGATGTATTCGGGTGTATATAAGCTTGGGTTGTGAGATCAGGCGCGTGGTCAGGTGTGGTGCAGTGGGTCAGAGACGTTGTCCAAGTGGCTGGAGCAGATTGGACGCCGTCGGTTGCATCGTTTCCAGTAGTCGGGTTAGGTGGTATAGCGCCGTAGCTTGATGCAGGCATGCTTGGATCTGGGGTCCGCAATTTACTGCGTTCCATAAAAAAGGGGATGCTGGAGATGTTTGGGCGATTTGCGGAGAGATCGCATGTGATGGTCGATTCACAGGTTCGCTGGGTGCAAAAGGCCGAGGGGGTGCGGTGTTTGTGATACTCATAGGGTTAATGTATCTAGATGGTCGTTGTCTGTGTGGGATTGTGACTCGATCAGCAGTGAAACCCGACTTGCTCGAATTTGACTTACGAAGTAGGGGGCTTGGGGTGTTGAGCAGATACTTCTGGCGACCAGGCTGATCCAGTTTGGTGGTCGCATAAGCAGACTTCGGCCCAGAATAGGGGGGCGGGACTTTCGGTATGCCCATGCGAACGGACTGGGTGTTTTGCTTAATCGGTAGCCACGGGGTGTTTGTCTTGGCCGTGTTGGAGCGTTCGCGTGTTGTAACTTTGCTGTATTGTTGTGGTCTTGATGGAAGCCGAGGAGTCTTAGCAATCAAACATCGTGGTTGAGGTTTGCTAGACGTTGGGGTCGGACCAGTAGGAGTTTGCGCAGAATGTTTTATGACACTGGTAAGGGACGTGTAAGACGACAAGAAGTCAATGCTTTCAACTTCTGATTCTGTGTCACATGTCTGACGGATTAGTTGGACGCGGACGGTGTGTTTTGTCCACGGCTGTACTGGTTGTTGCTGTCATTGAAACAGTCCCAGTTTCGATGCTATTAACGCGTCCTTTGTTCCCAGGCGGCTCTAGTACGGCGGGGTCTATTTGTCGTTCTTGTGTTACATCCATGTCCACATTATAAACCATAGAAGAGCAAGCTGTGGGAGTTGAAGTTGGATGAGTGGTAGTCAGTTGCGCTCCCGAGGGTGGTGTTGTTTGCGTTATTCTTTTGGTTATTTTTGGTTTAGGTAGAATGGACCTCTGCAGCGGTGTTCTATCCGGTTTTATCAGGATTGGCCCGAGATTAGGCAGATGTCTTAGGAGAAAACGGGCGTCAATAAACCTTCTAGCAAAGTCGTGGTCGCCAAACTTGATCACGATTGGGCAAGATCGTCCAGAGATCTTACGCAAACGAGTGGCTGTGCAACAACCATGTGGCATTTGGCAAGCATCTAAGAGTGTTTGCAGTACCTTCTTGAGAGGCAATTTATGGTGTACATTGAGTACAATAGCGTTAGCAAGCGTCAAGGGGCCATCAAGTGTCTGGTGGTCTTGCAGCAACACTTTGCAATTTGAAGGTGCGAAATGCATACCAAATAATGGGACCACTCTGGATAGGCTATTCAGGGTTGATTGTACCGCCTCAACATTGTCGAAAAGCAAGACGATATCGCCCGCATAATCTAGATCAACTAACCTTTCACCAGGCAGCACTTCAGCGCCTACATCGTGACATTCCCCAAGGGAACACTCCATAATAGAATCCACGACGAAATTGAACAAAAACGGGGAAATCGGACAGCCCTGACGAACGCCACTTGTGGTCGGAAAGTTATCCGCTAGGACACCGTAGACCCTGACGCGGCCTGTAGTGTTCGAGTATAGAGCACGAAGGATGTTCACATATTTCGTGGGAACACCTTTCCGCGCAAGTAATTCGAACAGAATCGATCGATCGACTGAATCGAATGCACTCTTGAAATCAAGGAACACAGCTATTGTCGGTCTGCGGTATGCGTGGCGCTGCTCTAGGACCTGGCGCAAAGTGAATATATGGTCTATACAGCCACATCCTGGGCGAAAACCGGCCTGCTCTTCCCTTATCCGAGATTCCCGTTCT